GTGTGAGTGTGTGGGTGAGTGAGTGTGAGAGTGAGTGTGAGTGGTGTGAGAGAGTGAGTGTGAGTGAGTGTATGTGAGTGAGTGAGTGAGTGAGTGAGTGTGAGTGAGTGTGTGAGTGAGTGTGAGTGAGTGTGAGTGTGTGTGTGTGAGTGTGAGTGTGTGTGGAGTGAGTGAGTGAGTGAGTGTGTGTGAGTGTGTGTGAGTGAGTGAGTGTGTGGTGGTGTGTGTGTGAGTGGTGTGAGTGAGTGAGGTGTGTGTGAGTGAGAGTGAGTGTGTGTGGTGAGGTGAGTGTGAGTGTGAGTGTGTGTGTGTGTGTGGTGAGTGTGTGTGGTGGTGTGAGTGTGAGTGGTGTGAGTGTGTGAGTGAGTGAGTGTGTGAGTGAGTGAGTGAGTGTGAGTGAGTGTGAGTGTGTGAGTGGTGAGTGAGTGGTGTGTGAGTGAGTGAGTGTGGTGGTGTGTGAGTGGTGAGTGTGTGTGAGTGTGAGTGTGTGTGAGTGAGTGTGTGAGAGTGTGTGAGTGAGTGAGTGGTGAGTGTGAGTGAGTGAGTGTGAGTGTGTGTGAGTGAGTGTGTGTGAGTAGTGAGTGAGTGAGTGAGTGTGAGTGAGTGTGGAGTGAGGTGAGTGAGTGTGAGTGTGTGTGAGTGAGAGTGAGAGTGAGTGTGTGAGTGAGTGAGTGAGTGAGTGAGTGTGTGAGTGAGTGAGTGTGTGTGAGTGAGTGTGGAGAGAGTGTGAGTGTGTGTGAGTGGGTGAGTGTGAGTGTGAGTGTGTGTGTGAGTGTGTGAGTGAGTGAGTGTGAGTGAGTGTGAGTGAGTGTGTGAGGTGAGTGAGTGAGTGAGTGAGTGTGGTGAGTGTGAGTGAGTGTGTGGTGTGAGTGAGTGTGAGTGAGGTGAGTGTGAGTGAGTGGTGAGTGAGTGTGAGTGAGAGTGTGTGAGTGAGTGAGTGAGTGAGTGTGTGTGAGTGTGTGTGTGGTGAGTGAGTGTGGTGAGTGTGAGAGAGAGTGAGTGAGTGTGAGTGAGTGAGTGTGTGAGTGAGTGTGTGTGAGTGTGTGTGAGTGAGTGAGTGTGTGTGAGTGAGTGAGTGTGAGTGAGTGTGTGAGAGAGTGAGTGAGTGTGGTGAGTGAGTGAGTGAGTGAGTGTGTGAGTGAGAGTGAGTGTGAGTGTGAGTGAGAGTGTGTGAGTGAGTGAGTGAGTGAGTGTGTGTGAGTGTGTTAGTGAGTGAGTGAGTGAGTGTGGTGTTGTGTGAGTGAGAGTGAGAGTGAGAGTGAGAGTGAGTGAGTGTGAGTGAGTGTGTGAGTGAGTGTGTGTGAGTGAGAGTGAGTGTGTGAGTGAGTGAGTGTGAGTGTGTAAGAGTGAGTGTGTGAGAGTGAGTGCGTGTGAGTGTGTGTGAGAGAGAGTGAGTGTGTGTGAGTGTGGTGTGAGTGAGTGTGAGAGAGTGAGTGAGTGAGTGAGTGAGTGAGAGTGTGTGAGTGAGTGAGTGAGTGAGTGAGTGAGTGGAGTGGTGAGTGAGTGTGAGTGAGTGTGTGAGTGAGTGTGTGAGTGAGTGTGAGTGTGTAAGAGTGAGTGTGTGAGGTGAGTGAGTGTGAGTGGTGTGAGTGTGTGTGAGTGTGAGAGAGAGTGAGTGTGTGAGAGTGAGTGTGAGTGAGTGTGAGAGTGAGAGTGAGTGTGTGAGTGAGTGAGAGTGAGTGTGTGAGTGAGTGAGTGTGAGTGAGTGAGTGTGTGTGAGTGAGAGTGAGTGTGTGAGTGAGTGAGTGAGTGAGTGTGAGTGTGTAGAGTGAGTGTGTGAGAGTGAGTGAGTGTGAGTGGGTGTGAGTGTGTGTGAGTGTGAGAGAGAGTGAGTGTGTGAGAGTGAGTGTGAGTGAGTGTGAGAGAGAGTGAGTGAGTGAGTGAGTGAGTGAGTGAGAGTGAGTGAGTGAGTGTGTTAGTGTGTGAGTGAGTGTGAGTGTGTGTGTGAGTGAGAGTGAGTGAGTGTGAGTGAGAGTGAGTGTGTGAGTGAGTGAGTGTGTGTGAGTGAGAGTGAGTGTGTGAGTGAGTGTGTGAGTGAGTGAGTGTGAGTGTGAGTGTGTAAGAGTGAGTGTGTGAGAGTGAGTGAGTGTGAGTGCGTGTGAGTGTGTGTGAGTGTGAGAGAGAGTGAGTGTGTGAGAGTGAGTGTGAGTGAGTGTGTGAGAGAGTGAGTGAGTGAGTGAGTGAGTGAGAGTGAGTGAGTGAGTGTGTTAGTGAGTGGTGAGTGTGAGTGTGTGTGAGTGAGAGTGAGAGTGAGTGAGTGTGAGTGAGAGTGAGAGTGAGTGTGTGAGTGAGTGAGTGTGTGTGAGTGAGAGTGGTGTGTGTGAGTGGTGTGAGAGGTGAGTGAGTGTGAGTGCGTGTGAGTGTGTGTGAGAGAGTGTGAGTGTGTGAGAGTGAGTGTGAGTGAGTGAGTGTGAGTGTGAGTGTGTAGAGTGAGTGTGTGTGAGAGTGAGTGAGTGTGAGTGCGTGTGAGTGTGTGTGAGAGAGAGTGAGTGTGTGAGAG